GGTTGTAGGACTACAGATAGAAATGTCCTGCCAGGTAGGTTTTCTGGTTGATGACTCCATTAAATCAATTATGGGTTTAATGTCGCGGTCTTCCAGCTGGTCTTTCCTGACTTCATCATCACTCCACGGTTCTCGATCAGCCGATGTTGATGTTTGTAATTTGTCTTGCGACCGGAGTCAGCAGCTCGTATTTCGCTTCCACCCTGGAACAATATCGGCAGCTTTCTTTCTTGGCAAGGTCTTCTAGACAGGGCGTCGGCGTTTCCGTGTGTGTGATGATCCCTTACGATGACGGATAGTGATGTCATATTCTTGGAGTCTCTGTATCCACCTGGCTATTTGACCCTCAGGATTCTTGAAATTTAAAAGCCAGGTCAATCATGCATGATCGGTGCGGAGCAGGAATTTTCTGCCGTATAGATAGTGATGGAACTGTTCTACAGCTTTGACTATGGCGAGCAACTCTTTCCTGGTGACACAATAATTCCTCTCCGGTTTAGACAGGCACTTGCTCCAGTATGCCACTACACGTTCTTGGCCGTCTATTTCTTGGGACAAAACAGCACCAACACTTTCATTACTCGCGTCGGTGTCGAGAATAAATGGTTGGTCAAGCTGAGGATACGTCAGGATTGGAGCAGATGTTAAAGCCTCCTTTAAGTTGTCAAATGCATCCTCGCATTCTTTTGTCCACAAGAACTTTTGGTTGCTCTCTGTCAGCTTGTGTAGGGGTCTTGCGATGGAAGAAAAGTCCTTCACGAATTTCCTATAGTAGGTGCAAAGCCCTAGGAAGCTTCTCAGCTGATGGACATTTTCGGGACGTTTCCAGGATTTAACGGCTGATACCTTTTCAGGATCCGTGCGCACACCTTCTGCAGAGATGACATGTCCCAGTTAAGTCACTTCCTTTCGGAACAATTTGCATTTAGCGGGACTCAGCTTCAGATTGGCTTCTTTCAGTTTCTGAAGCACCTTCCTAAGATTTTCTAAATGTTTTTCAAAACTCTTTCCGACGATGATGATGTCGTCCAGGTATATGAGGCAGGCTTCGTAGGAAAGGCCTTTCAAAACAGTTTCCATAAGACGTTCGAATGTTGCTGGCGCATTACACAGTCCAAACGGCATCACCTTGAATTGCCAAAGCCCTTGTCCCGTAGTAAATGCTGTCTTTTCTCGGTCTTCAGGCTGTATTTCTACCTGCCAATACCCACTCTTTAAATCAAGTGTTGAGAACCACTTGCTGCCAGAAAGAGTGTCTAGAATGTCGTCAATTCTAGGAAGAGGGTAACTGTCTTTCTTCGTAACCTCATTCAACCGGCGATAGTCGACGCAAAATCTTGTTGAGCCGTCTTTCTTTCTGACTAGGACGATGGGAGAGATGCCCATGGACTTACTGAAGGCTCGATGACATCGCTTTCTTTCATATCTTTTAACAGTGTTCGCACCTCTTCCTGTTTAGCAAACGGTAGACGTCTTGGATGTTGCTTGATCGGGGGATGATCGCCGGTATCTATTCTATGTTGTGTCAAACTAGTTCGACCCACGTCAGAAGACGAGCGGGAGAAAACAACTTGAAGATCTTTAATGACGCGATTGGCAGCATTCCTCTCTTTATCGTTTAATTGCGCATTCTGCAATAACTCCGATGTAATTCTCTCTGAGGACACGGATTCTTCGATGTTACTCTTTCTTTCAACGGTGGTTACTGGAGTACATGTTGCAACCACTTCACCTTTCTTAATAATTCTCCCCTTCTCAGTTACATTGGCGACTCTCACCGGGATAACCGTTCTGGATAGGTCGACGAGTGTTGAGGCTACTAGTACTCCTTTTGGGTATTACAGTTATTGGGATATTCTATGATGCCGTAGCGGAAATTTCTGTTTTCGGCTATGGATCCAGGAAGTAAAATTTCTGTTCTTGCCGGTATTGTGATATTGTCTTGTGCTATGATTTTATGGACAGATTTAACTTCATCATTGACTCCAAATAACGCTATGTCCTCAGATGTAGAATGCAATTCGTTATTTTTAAAGTCCAAGGAAAAATTGTATTTCCTTAGAAAGTCCAATCCGAGTATGCAAGAATCAGTGATCTCTGCTACATATGCCGTGTGTGTGATGGTAAGCGGCACTTCCAAACGTGATGTTAGCATTTACTTTCCATTGATGTTGATCTTCTCACCGGACACAGTCTGTAGGGTAACGCAGGGCGGCGTCCAGATAAGTTTGCTTCCCAGTTGTTGAGCCAAATCTTTTCGGATGATGGTAACGTTGGCTCCTGTATCTATCGTCATATTGCAGGGAACTCCATTAATATGTCCTATTATGAAAAGTCCATTACTGCCGCCTCTCACTGCAGAAATCTGAAGCGCTTTAAACTGGGGCTTTTCATGATCTGGCAACCTCCGCCCCGCGAGATGGCCACTAATTAGTTTCCCTGCTGTTTGTTAGGAGCGGTCTTAGCATCCGTGCCCTGGGGTGTTCTGCAGTTTTGCCGGATGTGTCCTTCAGCACCGCAGTTCCAGCACTTTACAGTCAGTTTCTTGTCACCAATATTCTGTCTCAAGGCGTTCAGTTGTCTAGTTAAATCGTCTAGACGAGCAGTGACTTGATCCCCTGGCTCCTGGACTTGAGCAGCTCTCACTGGATGGCGGTCTCGACGGGTGGCTTGCTGGGCTGCCTCAAATTTCATGGCATACACTAAAGCGCTTTTCAGATCTTTAACATCCGCCATTCGCAGTGCTTTCTGTATTTCAGGGTCCCGGATGCCATCGATGAAATATTGCAGGGACAGGATTTCCCTTGTTTCTGTCGGGCACTCCGAAAAGGCGTGATGTGACAGCCTTTCAACATCCGTGGCGAGCTCCTGAAGCGTTTCGGTGAGCTTCTGTTGACGAGATTTTAATTGGAGCCTGCTGTAGTCTTTTAAACATTTCTCGCCGAAGCGCCGGATAGAGCTTCGAAATTTAGCCTTTGATTTTCGGGAAGCGTCTGCAGGATATCCGCTGCGTCTGCTCTCAGAGAAGCGGCGAGATGACAGGCCTTAGCTTGGGAATCCCATCCATTCGCATCCGCAACGATAGAAAATTGTGTCCTATACACCTGCCAGGAGGTCTTCCCATCATATGTAGATAGTTTCAGAACGGAACGAGCAGGCATCGATAAAAATTTGAAACCTTCCGGATTGCTACCTGCCGTCGCTACGAATTTCTTTAAATCAACAACTTCTTTGGTGACCGCAGAAAACTCTATCATTAATTTGTTGTTCCACGGCAGAAAGAAGAAACTCTCTCTTCTATTTCTTCTTTTACCGAAGAAACTTTTTCTTCAAAGTTTCCAACTTTATTCTCAACTGCGTCAATTCTGCCTTCCATAACCTCGAATTTGTTTTCTATTACGCTGGTAATTTCTCTTTTCATCTCTTCTTGTCTTGCTTCAATCTTTTCCTGTCCTGCTTCAATCTTTTCCTGATTACATTTCATCTCTGCTTTCATTTCTTCTTTAAACGAGGCAAACGCTGATATCAGCTGTCTTAATTGCTCTTCCATCGCTCTTGTGATTGGCATTCAAATCCCACCGCTGCCACCAAAAATTGTTGCGTGCGTACGGGTTCGTTATGAAATGAATGCACAAGTCCGATGAAAAATGAACAAAAAATTTATTATTATCACAACAAAAATGCTTAAATTTTCTCAAATTATCATGCAGTATTACAATATCTCACAGTAGTTATCTTTTAACTACTCAAATATCCAATAGAACGTAATTCAAAACAGCTAAAGAACGCTAATCCGCGAATTCGCTACAATCAACAACAGTAGTTTTCTAAACAACAACAAACTAAGCAACTACTACAAACTGAGATGTTTTCCTCCTTTTATAAGATTTTAAAATCATGCGCTAGAATTTTCCAGTACTTTCTCGAAATCAAAAAGAGATATTTATTTATTTAACGCACGCGCTCTTGTATTTTTAATTTTTCCGGCTTAGCTTTCTTTTAATATTCGTCACGCGCTGCACTGCGCGAGAAATAAAACGATTTAATTTATAATTGAACTAACATTAGCTTTTTAAATACCAAATTCGTAACAATATAAACATTTAAAAATGACTTAAGACAGTTATACTACAACAAAACAGCTAGATATATATATATATATGGCTTTTTCCGTATTTCTTCCAATTAAATCGGCTTCTATTTCCACCGTCCACGATTCCACGAGAGCCATCATCATATTGAAAATTACCCATGATCCTTCAGAACTTTCATCTGATTGGCTGATCTCTAAAAGTGGAACACAGCTCCAGACGGAACATTTTCAGGAAGGTTTCAAAAAGGTTGCTCATAGCCGGGACAGGTTGCGCCTAGCTAGACAAAATATTTCTCGGAAACCTCCCGTTTAAACCAGTGCTACTAGAATCTCGTTTCCTCGGAACTGTCCCGTCTAGCCACACGCATCCCTAGAAAATGTTCGCCACTTTATGGAAGTAGCCAGTCTTTATAACTCTGTCCCAGGGTTACCCTTTATAACTCAGTATGATGCATCTTCCACAGATGTTGGTGCCTGCTTTTCTCATCGGAAGGATGAAGTGATGTACCCAATCAGTTTTGCTAGCCAGAAAATAACCAAAACACAATAAGCATGGCCACTATCGAAAGGGAAACCTATGGTGTAATTTGCAGCCTGAAAAACTTTGAAACATGGATCTTTGGATCACCTGTGGAACCGATTACTCATCACAATCTATTAACTTTCATCATCAAGAACACACCACTGTCTTTAAAACTACAAAGATGGGCCCTAACATAACAGAAATATGATACTATGATTTTTCATTGTTTAGGTGCCAAGTTGAAAGAAAGAAGCAATAAGAAACAATACAGCAATCCAAAATTAATATATTAGGGGGTGCGAAATCTTCAGTTGTCCCTGGGCGCTGAAAACCCTAGCTACGACTCTGATTTAAATTTAGAAAAAGGACTTAAACTCATTTCACCTGTTGGGATTATACTTGGCACTTGTTGCAGGTTGCTCATTGATGACATCAACATCTTCAAAACTGTCTTTTTGTGAGCTGAGACTTGAGACTAATGTACTGTCCTCTAAAAACAATAAATCTTGATCAGTAATATTTAAAATAAAATAATATTAAAAAAATTAACAGTTAGTACTTTTCTATATTATAGTTATTTCAACATTCAGCTGCTCATTTATATTTTAATTTATAATAAAAACAAAAAATTCTAAAACATGAACAAATAAATGTATGTATGGTGTGATTTATTCCTTAAAATCTCATGATATGCTAGAATTCAAAATTCTATGGCTTACATTGCTATGATTTTATAGGGTAATGAATTGTATAAACTCATTTATGAACTTTCTAACTATCCACAGAACTCATTGGTGACTTTGCAGACAAATAACTGTTTGGGAACCGTGATGCATATTTCAATAATGTATTCAGTGCTACCTACATTTTTTTTTTTTTTTTTACATTCATTAAAAAATATCTTTTTCAAAATATTCTTTACCCATGTATAGTGATCTGTTTTCCTTTTTTTAATTTAAGTATTTACCTATCATCCTGTTGCGACTCTTATTAAGTTTAGCGTTTCCCATTTATTATTATTTAAGAGTTTGTTTTGCAATTTTGTTTGATATATGAATCTGGCAACCAGTTTCGAATGCTGTGATCAGGGAAAGGAAAATTCCCGTTCTTCTAAGCAAGCAGCAGTTAAGTTAGTTACGTTACTGAAATACTGAATGTTTTTCATCATTAAGATGTACAAATCACTTGATCTTTATACTAAACTCTACATGTAAATAATCGCATTTATCTGTATGTCTTCGTAAAGTGAAATAAATTGGATATAAAACAAAGTCTGATTTTGAATCAAAACAAAACTGGCATTCTTAAGTATAAATAAAAATTAAGAATTTATTACAAATCATTTTAAGTAACTATTTTAAGTGCACAAACAAATATGGATGCTCTGAAAATAAAACGAAAGTCGTTAAGAGCTTCATTTACGTCTACAGTGAATAAGTTGAAGCAATATTTGGTGATGAAAGTAGATGCCAAGGATGGCGATAAGCTGAGCGCATTGAACGCTCAGTTACAAGATAAATTTTTACATTTAGATGAGATTCAGAATAACATTTCGTCATTACTTTTAGAAATTACTGAGACTGTTGCTGAATACAAAGCCGATTTTGAGGCGGCAGAGGATAATAGAGATAATTATGAGCTTAAATCGCAGATAGAAAAGCTCTTAAGTAAAGATTCTGGATCTTTTTTGAAAAGTCCTGCAGAGCGTGACGCGGTAAAATTAAAATTACCTAAATTTAAATTAAAAATGTTTTCGGGTGATCCCACGGAAATTTTAACATTTTGGAGTATTTTTCAAAAATACATGACTCAGAGGAACTGACTGCTATAGACAAATTTGAGTTATTTATACCAGTCTATGGTGCCTGATTCGAGAGCTGCTAAATTAATATCTAATTTCCCAATAACAGATTTCTATTTCCCAATATCTAATTTCCCAATAATAATAATAATAAAATTAATATTTAAGTTTCCCAATAACAGCTGAAAGTTATCCAAAGGCCACCCAATAGCTGAAATTAAGATTTGGCCAGGAGGATCTCCTAGTGCAAATATATGTCTATGATCTCTTTCACTGGCTCTGAAAAATGCTACGGCCGGGAAGAATGCCCCTGATTTAGCTAACCTCTATGATATGCTAGAGACAAAATTAAAAGCATTGGAAAGTTTAGGGCGCACAAAAGAAAAATTTGCTGACTTTTTAGAGCCATTGGTGGAGTCGTGTTGTAAGGATCTTAAGTTTTACTAACGTTTATTTTATTTTAAATCTTTACTATCACTTCTTATTTTCTACTTCCGGCCAGAATTATAAGCGTGAAGGAGTTTATGCAAAGTTGTCTGGCGAACGCCAAGTATTTAAGTGTGGCCTTTTTGCCAAGCAGAAGAGAGGAAGCCGTGAGTTCGAAGCAGGCCGCTTACCTTAGAAGTTACGCAGTTGCTACTTTGCCTTCCAGGCCAGAGGTTTTAATCCTCTTGATAAATTAAACGTATTGTAGTGTTCACAGTCTCTGTGCTACATACGCTTCCTGTTATTATAAGGCCAATCTTATTCTAAAGTTAAAATAGAGTTTAGTTTTATTTTGATATCTTTTAAGTTAGACCCCGAGTGGAGGTTCATTGTATTCCGAAGTACGGAAGTCATTGTATATAAAGAAAAAAATAAAGGGTTTTGTATACCCTTCGTCTGTATCCTGTCTACTTACTACAATTAGTGAACATAGCTTTAGTAAGCTCTCTGTTCTAGTCAGGTCATTGTATGTTTCCGAAGAAGGTTAGAAGAAACACTGAAACTGATAGTGGCGCCCGACGAAGAATAACCATGGCCGAGTTTCAAGAAGAACCTGTGCTGCCTGCAGAAACAGCTCAGAATCCAGAAATGCCAGCTGCCGCCCTGGAAGGATTTGGGTACATTGTCCAGACCATGCGCGCTTCGATGAAACCAGAAGCAACGTTTAATGGAAACTCACAGGTAACCAGTTTTTTGGAAAAATTGGATGACCACTTCATGCTCTACCCTGTGCACGAGTTTCAAAAAGTTACCTTAGCTACCAGCGCTTTGAGGGGCCAAGCGCTTAACTGGTTCAAATGTATCGGCAGAAGTCTCTTGGGTCAAGCAGGAAGTCCCACCTATACCTACGAAAATTTCAAGACTGCCCTACTAAAAGCCTTCCCTGTTGTAAGGGATCGTGCGAAATTAGAAACAGAACTTTTCAGTATATATCAACAAAGAATGGAAAACCTCTCGAGTTTTATTTTAAGAAAAATTCACGTTTTCAAGCTCTTGTATGGAAACCGTCCGGATCCTGAAATAATTCAAGTGATTTTGCCGAGGTTACTACCCCAAGTGCAAGACTTTATTGAATTGAGAAATCCGACTACACTGGAAAAATTATTTGAGCTAGCAATCCAGTTTGAAAGTAGAAGAACGGCGGACGTCGAAAGAAGACGCCAATATCAACAGCGAAACCAATTTGGTACGCCAAGACTACAGCAAAACTCAAGCACATGGCTACGGAGAAAAAGCGAATCAGTGGGCAAGGAAACCCGAGCATTCAAAAACAGCCGGCGAACGTCGACAGTTCAATAGCAACCCAGGAAAAAAGTCTCAAGGCCAGTGGAGAAAGAAGGAAAGCACCGAAAGGAAAAATAATTTAAACTAAAACGGATTTCTGCTGACGAGAGGGTGCGGAAATCCGAAGGCCACGAAAACCCCTCTTCCTACAAGTTAAATACAGTAATGGTGAAAAATTTGAAAAAAAAGATTGAAGTCTTGGTAAATAATATCCCGGCCACCGCACTCCTGGATACCGGCGCGCAGTGTTCCTGTGTGGCAGAAGTCTTTTTTAGAAAGTATTTTCGCAAATACCGCATATATAATGCGGATAATACAACAGTATTAGCGGCGCAAGGAGAACAATGTAAGTGCGTAGGTAAAGTACCTTTGTACATCCGTATCAAGGACGAACAAGTAAAGGTGATGTTTTTTATAGTAAAGAATTTGCAAGCACACTTAATACTAGGAATAGACTTTCTTTCAGACGCACAAGCTACACTGGATTTTAATGAAGCGTCTCTTAAGCTGACGATGAAACCAGTGCGTGTAGAAAAGGTTGAACCGCCAAGGTTAAATCTCGACCACCTGCCTAATGACGAGCAAGATAGAATCCGACAAGTGGTAAGTGAATTTGCTTCCTTATTTAGTGATATTCCAGGATTTACCCAGGTTACTAACCATAGTATTGACACCGGAGATGCATTGCCGGTTCGTCAAAAACCATACCGGTATGATAAGAATAAGGAAAAAATTATAGAATGGCATATTACCGATATGCTACGTAAAAAGATCATAACGCCTATCTCAAGTAGTTATGCTAGTCCGGTGGTTTTATGTAAGAAAAATAATGATTATCCTTTGGAGCATCCAAAAAGGTGGAGATTCGCTATTGATTACCGTAAATTAAATTCCATAACGAAATATCCGGTATATCCGTTACCGATTATAGAAGAAATTTTAAGGAACATAAAATCAACCAAATTTATGACGACTTTAGACTTAACGAATGGTTATTTTCAAATAGGGATCAGGCCTGAGGACGTGCCTAAGACTGCTTTTATAACCAAGTCTGGCACTTATGCATTTTTGCGAATGCCGTTTGGCCTTTCAGGCGGCCCCAGCAACATTTCAGCGATGCATGGACATTGTGTTAAGACCTGTTCTCGGAAAAGTCCACATTTATCTATTTAGACGATATCATTATTACTAGTGATAATCTAGACCAACATGTACAGGATTTAAGACAGGTGTTTTCTTTATTAAATGAGGCCGGTCTAAAAGTTAATGTCGAAAAATGCAAATTTGCAGCCCCTGAATTAAAATATTTAGGTTACAAAATATCGCAAAAAGGGATCGAGACAGATGAATCAAAAATAATCGCTGTACAAAAGTATCCGACTCCAAACACGGCAAAGAAGCTCTCTTCTTTTCTAGGACTTTGTTCATATTATAGGTCCTTTATAAAAGATTTTGCGGCTATCGCTGAGCCATTGTTAAAATTAAAAAGGAAAAAGGCAAGATTCTCGTGGACGGCCGAAGCCAATAGTGCTTTCGAAAAATTAAAACAAGCATTAACGCAAGCCCCTGTGTTGAAATTTCCTGAAAAGGATGAAAATTTAGAAATTTCAGCGGATGCTTCGGATTATGCGGTAGGAGCGGTACTTTCGCAAAATCAGCAGCCAGTGGCATTTTTTAGCCGAACTTTAAATCAAACACAAAGAAACTATTCCGCGACCGAGAGAGAGGCACTTGCAGTTCTGTTAGCAGTGCAAAAGTTCCGAGTCTATTTTGGAAAGGCGCCGATAACAGTATATTCTGATCATGCGGCGGTAACTAGATTGTACTCTGGGAAAAATTTATCCCCAAGGTTAATAAGATGGGCACTCAAGCTGCAAGAATATAATCTGGTAATCAAGCATACCCCCGGAAAGG